TGGTGATGATAACATTTTGGCCGAACGTGCAGTACTTTTAAGGCATAAATAAAGATTCATTAAACGTAGGTTTCCTCATGCTTGACGTCTGTAACTTCAACCACCGCTCCCACGCTCTCGTCAATGCTTTTTTTGTAACCTCTTTTATGAACGCAACCTCACACATTTTCTTTTCGTTAGGAACGGTGACGTGTCTAAACCACTCTGGATGCTGAGGCAGCAGCTGTGCCTTTCGTCCCGCATGAAAGCTCTCAATTTTCTTCTATCAATGAGCAGTCGTAACGATTCTATTGCGTAATCCAAAGGCGTTCCACTGTTAAGCTGCTATCGGAACAATAGACGCTATTGTGGCATAAAGAGTATTGACCGATGGGATTGTGCGAGTAACGTTTTATCTGATGGGATTTCATGTGATCTAATACTGCCTTCCATACAAGCTGTAGGATTTCTCTTTTATGGCGATCAGATATTAATCCTCTTTTAAAAAAAAAACAAAAACAGCCTTTCTCTAGGAAACAGCTTTTTCTAAAATAGAAAATGTCATATTATATCTAAAAACAGCCTTTCTCTGGCGTTTATAAGTGAAACCAATTACACCCAAACTTTACCAAAGAGCCTTTCTATAAAAGCAGCCTCTCTCTCTAAAACAGTCTGACTTTTAAAAAAAAAAGCCTTGCTCTAAAAGAAAGACAAAAAAAATAACCATTATCTGGAATTAATCTTAAACAAACTCAAAACCCACCCACAAAAAATAACATTGAACTGAAGTTCATAGCTTAAACCACATAAAAAGTGAGTTATGGATCCTTTTCAACATTTATAACACAAATCGCCCACAATACTTTTTTGTGAAATGATTATGCTCTAAATGTTTATATAAAAATGCAAGATACGTATAAAAATGAGCAAAACATTATAAACAATAAGTCAATTACAGTCAATACCCCCCTTTTACCCGCTTTTCATCTGTTTTTTTCAATTTCTAGCTAGTTGTGGATCAACAGAACTTGGCAATGTTTTTCCAGGGGTCGCAGCAATAAAAGTGTTGAGAGCCTTGAAATTAGGCTAATAAACTTTCCTTCAGCTACGGTCTATTCATACATTGTCTGCTTTAAATGTTAATCTTTTCGAAATGTCTGCTTCTCTTGGGGTCGTGAACTTATGAAATTCGAGTTTATATCTTATTTTTAAATCAATGGTTGCAATCTAGTGGGATAATAATAACATTGAACAAATAAATTTGCTCACCAACCACTGGCAGAACCATGCCGAGGACAAGTGGCGCCGGGGTTGAAGCCTGAAAAATTGTAGTAAATAGAAAAAGTGACGCCCGGGGCGAACAAGTAAAAAATACGACTTTGACGCCCTCCCCCTCCCTCCCCCGGCTTTGTAAGGTAGGCTACATAATATTAGTTTATTTGTGCACAACCAGGTCCAGGGGCACCTATATTTCCACAAGCTAAGTATCTATCCATCTTCGATTAAGCGGAAAACGTTGAAAAATAAATTCAGGTATGTGTCAAAATGTATTCTTTTCAGATTAATTAATAGACACATTTATGAAGAAGCGCTCACTGAGCCCTCATCACAGACACATTTATGAAGAAGCGCTCACTGAGCCCTCATCACAGACACATTTATGAAGAAGCGCTCACTGAGCCCTCATCACAGACACATTTATGAAGAAGCGCTCACTGAGCCCTCATCACAGACACATTTATGAAGAAGCGCTCACTGAGCCCTCATCACAGACACATTTATGAAGTAGCGCTCACTGAGCCCTCATCACAGACACATTTATGAAGAAGCGCTCACTGAGCCCTCATCACAGACACATTTCTGAAGAAGCGCTCACTGAGCCCTCATCACAGACACATTTCTGAAGAAGCGCTCACTGAGCCCTCATCACAGACACATTTCTGAAGAAGCGCTCACTGAGCCCTCATCACAGACACATTTATGAAGAAGCGCTCACTGAGCCCTCATCACAGACACATTTATGAAGAAGCGCTCACTGAGCCCTCATCACAGACACACCCGCTTCTATTATTACAGGTGGTCACTTAAGTGGACTTAGTGATTGAATTAGACATGTAATTGTCTTTAAAAAACATAAAATATGATTTAATTAATAAATTTAAATTTTCAGTAGGAAACGCAGACAAGTTATCACAATTTTGGGTCAGCCTAGTAATAAGCTGTAACAATGTAGTAAACTGTCCCAAAATATCTAGTAAGGGGGCATCCATAAATGACGTCACGCACAATTTGCCGATTTTTCCCCCCATCGTCACAAATCGTCACAAAAAGTAAGCCCCCCCCTCAAATATAACGTCACAAATCTCTGCACCCCCCCCCCTATAAAAAGTCCCTGTGTCCACTACTGTCCTTTACAAACCCTTAAGAAATTCTCCTCCCATGGATCTCAAATACCTGCACCCGTGTCAGAAACATTTCACTAGATCAGTGGTTCTTAATCAGGGGTACAACTACCTCCCCAGCCTTGAGGTGTGGAAGACCTATAAATTGTATTCAGTGGCGTAGCTAGGGGGTGCGGACCGCACCGGCTGACACCATCTCAGGGGGGTGACACCAAATTGAAAGATAGCGTAATTACAGAGCACACACTGATCGGTCTAACCGAAATTCACAAAAGGATAACAGATGACCATGTACATTTTCCATCCATGTAACCACTCAAAATATGTGTTTCGTTAATATTAAAATGTCAAGGTTGATGCGTCAGCAAATAGGTTACCATCTAAGTAGGTCAGAAACCCACCATTTTGACCATGTTTCAACGCCGAATTAAGTATTCGGTAACTTTAGTAAGTGACAGGAAGTTATTTGTGTCTAAATTCTGATAAATACAACTATCCTTTGATAACATTGACCATTCAAAGAATGTTGCAGTTCTTAAATACATTTACCCCCCGACCTTCGATTAATTTGTTTTTGTTCTTGTATTTCTTATACTGTGGACTAAGTTTAACAAGAATAAATACATCGTGAAAAGGGGGGTGGGTGTGTGAAACCACGAGCTTACCTGACCAGGTGACATCAACCCTAGCTACTCCACTGATTGTATTTGCTGCCATTGCTAGTTGTTGCTGCTTTAAAAAAAAATATTTTTTTTTTAAATAAGCAAGTTTTTATGGATTTTGATTAGCAGCAGTCAATGCTGAATTTCATTGGCGCATTGCATGTATTGGTAATATTTTTCCCTTTAATAAAAAGTTAATTAAAGAAATAAAACTACAATAGCTAAAGTATTTAATTATTTTAAATGTTATTGCAATATAATTTATACGGTTGGGGGAATGATGTTTAAAACGGAGTGGGCCTGCAACGCTGCAAAAAGGGTTAAGAATCCCTGCCCTAGAGCATTTACTAAGATAACCCCCACACCGTGGTCAACCTTTTTTTCCTGCCCCATCCCTTTTCCTGCGCGTCCACATTTAGCCATAAGTTCTCACGACTGTCATTGTAGCTTAACTCCGATTCCCCTCCTCCTTGACGTCCTGTAACTTGATCAGAGGCCATTCTTGGGACTGCGCATACCCCTACTCAGGGCCGGCGCATGGAGGGTGTGGGGCTTTGGGCAATTTGACTTTTGCGGTGCCGTTGACGTTATATATTCGCCGATAGGATATTAAGTCAATTAAGACACGTTATATTCGCACTGGGGCCTTGCTGGTCATAATGGGTAATGGGACACGTCATAACGGTAGCCAGACTTACCTTCAGACCACTTGACTAGCTAATAACTCAGAATATTGTGTTGACTGAATTTGGAACTATTGGCAGGCTGAGGTATATTCTAAATATACGCAACGTGCGGTCGCCCACTTCGCCATCCCCTAGCGCCGGCCCTGCCTGTACTGATTCTCTCAGTGATAGTAGTGAGTAAAAATAAAATAATTATAATTGTATAAAAGAGTAATGTTACAAATGGCTGTAATTCAGTGTTTATTAAGTGCAATTCTTTACTAAAATATTCCGCTTTTTATGTGACGTCACATTGCATGGAGGCCCCTCCCCTCCCCCTCGTCACACATCGTCACAAAAATCTGACCCCCCTAGGCGCGTGACGTCATTTATGGATGGCTCCAGAGGCCATTCCTCGGACCTCGCATTTCTACCTGATTCTCTCAGTCGTATTAGTTTTAAAATAATTATAGTTGTTTTTTATTTTTTTTTAAATAGTATTAAAGATGTCTGTAATTTAGTGATATTAAGTGAAATTCTTTACGACAACATTCCGCTTTTCATGTGACTTCACATGGCTTGACTTGAGCCCCCCCCTTCCCTCATCACACATTGTCACAAAAATCTGACCCCCCCCCCCCCAAGACGCGTGACGTCATTTATGGATGGCCCCTAACTCGCATATTGATATTGCTAAAGTCATATAGTATTACTAAGTAATAAGACCCTACAAGTAAAATTAAAGCATTTTATTTTCTCATAAAGGTGAAAATGTGGGACACTTTCTAGCTTTAAACTCCAATTATCTCAAAATATTTAAAATGGGACAAGTCTGGATTTTCCGCTTGGGACTATTCCTACAATCAGACTCATTTTCATTTAGTCCATATGACATATTTCATAACCTTTCACAAAATATAGCTCGCAAAACAAGAAATAAAATAATACATTAAAACCCGGTCGTTAGACTTAATAAAAAATTTTTTTTTTTTTTTTTTTTTTTTAAAAAAAAACATAACAGACTCGGCAGAATTATTTTATTTTTATGTTATGGAAATCATAACATGTTTAAATTGACGCTTGTTTTCGCCTAAATAAAAATATATTTCTTTCATTAATTTATTTTATACTTTGTTCCAATTAATTTATAACCAAGTTTTAGTAATGTTAAATTTGAACTGCGTACATTTTTTGAGTGTGGAAGCACATATAGACCATATTATAAAACTACCAAAAACGCCAGTTACATAAATTTTGTGGACGTAACCTCAAGCAAGTTCAAGGATAAGGTCGACCATATTTTATTCTTACTTTCTCGATAGAGAGCGGCGATAGAGAGCGGCAACACAAAAAACTGGCTGAACTGACCCCGAACGACCCGAGATGCGAGGAAATGTTACATCACCGCTTCATAAACATCATGCGTTGTCGATTTTTATATAAATGTGAATTTGTGACTCTGGAGTGTAGTGTGGTCTTCTTGCTACAGATGGGATGGAGGCGAAAATACCAAGCAGAAATTTCTCACCAACCGCTCCATTATCATCAAAAGTGAACAGGAAAATTTTGGGCCTACTTTCGTGTCAGTGCCTACGTGAGTCTTTGCATTCATTCATCAATAATGCATTGTTGCATTATATTGACATGACATATGATATAAGTTACTTACTATACGCTTTAAAATTGGCATTGCAACTTTCTTCGTTTAGTAAAAGCTGGAATGTACGATTTTATTCTGTAGTAGCGTAATATTTTTAGTCACCTCAAAATAAAATTAATCCAATTTAAATTTAATTAGTGATTAGGGCTAGTCATTTAGTATTTAGACTCTATAGACTATAGACTACAGACTACAGTCTGGGTCAGTTATTTTTATCACATCACATATTATCATCATTTTCATAGCCTTGTTGTTGGTACATAAGCACTGGGCTTGCCGAGAATGCCATGGGTGTTGGAATTGGAAACTAGACAGTAATATTAATTAATATAAACGAGACAAGGTGAAAACCAATATTAATATTATTATTATTAGATAATTAGGCCTAATTAATAATATATAACATACCATATTATTACATTGTCAGTTAAGTATTGTTTATGCCTCACTAAACTCACTTTGTCCCAGTCTTGGTGATTATTGCCAAATTAACTAAATTATAAATTTAATTTAAGCCGATCACAGTGTAGTATAAAATAATAGTATTTTTTATATAGCCGCTAATTATAATTAAAATGATTAGCCAGGCCTATTGCTATTTAAAAGCTGTTAGTTTATGTTGAAGGTTACATCAGCTAGAATTTAGGGCACGGCTATCCAATAATGATGCACTGCTATTTTGGTCAATTTGTTATCCAACCCGTCCCAAAATTGTAACATAATTTTACATCCATCATCTTAAATTCATATTGTTTATGGAAAGCCCCACTGACATTTAGTAAACTAGAACATTAAATCAATAAGCCCACGTCACCTACCTTTAATAAATTAAAAAATGTGAAATAATATGTTGATTTGGTAAACATGGGAACGCCTGCCACCTTTTTTATTGATGGCCACCATCTTGGTTGCCACGACACGTGAAGTGTCAACCAAGATGGCGGCCAAAAAGTAGTGCAAAACACGTGTTATGAAAATGGAGGGGGGGGGGAGAAAATGTGTTCATAAAAAAGAATAAAAATGAAAGGAAAGAATCAGGGAGACATGTGAATTAAATTGCATTTGGAGTGATCTTTTAGTGGACTGGGGAGGGGTTGGAAACCCCTCCCCAATTTAACAAAAAAAATATATAATGAGAAAACAATCGATCCCTAAATCTAACCTGAATCCTAAATCGATCCCTAAAACTAGCCCTAAAGCCACAAGTAAAAACACATGGAATTTATACACTGTGGCAGGAAAACTAGGAAAATGAACAAAAAGAAGAGTAATGGCCAAAAATGATTATAAAATAAAGAAGAAATAATGAAAACCCAACTTACCAAAAAAATAATTTATTTTTCAGTAATATTTCGAACATTCTCAAATTTCCAAACATAATTTGCACATAATCCGCCACTGGTTTCTTAACAAAAAACAATAAAATATTAAACATTCCTCGAGCGCTTGAATACTAATACATTAATTAAGAAAAAACAACATTTCTAATAATAAACCAAGGGAAGTGACTCCCAAACGTAAACAATACCCAAAAGACGCTGTGGCAGCTGTCCTCGGTTTTAGCCGTTGATTTTACTGTTTAGTCTATCTTAGTTCACGTCCCGACCGAAAACTCTGAGGGGGGTGGTAACGCAACACTTTCCCTCCGGAGTGGAAGCAAACCCGCCCAGACTCTTCGGGAGAGTGGACTGCGAACGCTTTAAATGCGTTTTCGGTCGACCTGATGTCTCCCAGGCCGGGGGGAGGTTGCCGACGCTCGGTTTGGTGGCGGTTATGTTAACAATTCACTAATCTATAGGGGCCATCCATAATTGACGTCACGCGCCTAGGGGGGAGAGGGGGATCAGATTTTTGTGACGATGTGTGAAGGGGGGGGGGGGGGGCTCATGCAATGTGACGTCACATGAAAAGCGGAAATTGTAGTAAACATTTGCACTTAATAACCCTGAATTACAGCCATTTTTAACATTACTCTTTTATACAATTATAATTATTTTATTTTTACTCACTACTATCACTGAGAGAATCAGTACAGGCAGGGCCGGCGCTAGGGGATGGTGAAGTGGGTGACCGCACGTTGCCGTAGTATATTTAGAATATACCTCAGCCTGCTAATACCCCTGATTAAGAACCACTGATCTAGTGAAATGTTTCTAACACGGGTGCGGTAAGTTGATATCCATGGGAGGCGAATTTCTTAAGGGTTTGTAAAGGACAGTAGTGGACACAGGGACTTTTTTTGGGGGGGGGGGGGGGTGCAGAGATTTGTGACGTTATATTTGACCGGGGTCTAACTTTTTGTGACGATTTGTGACGAAGGCGGGAGGGCGGGGTAAAAAATCGGCAAAATTTGCGTGACGTCATTTATGGATGGCCCCATATATATATATATAAAGGCAAACTCTATGTTTTAACTAGGCTCAAAACTTATTACACTATATAAAACTGTGGGGCTAAACGTCTGAAAGAACAAAACCATACAATGAAAACCCTCTTACCACAGCAGTAAACCAAATACGTTAATATACGCATTCCCAAGCAACCCACCTAGCAAGATCAGCCTGGCATATTTTATAAGGTCATAAGAGGCAGTTGAGAGTTTGATGTTATTTAGGCACGTAAATGTCAGTTGGAAGCGTATATATTGATACAAGTACTAAGCAACTGTTCTATTTGGATACCAAAGTTTAGAATACCGGTAACCTTTGACCCCAGAGAAGAAGGCTGTAGATACTTAAAGGTGTCTAATGCAGGTGCTGGAGCTCCATATTTAGTCTTTTGCCCTTTTCCAATCTAAAACATCTGCAAGATAAAGTGACCTCAGATTTCATTCTAAAAGGAACGTGTCACCAGGTTTCCGAAATGGTCCTTTTTTTTCCCCGAATTTTTCTTTTCCAGTCCCCAATGTTTCTGAACATGGGCTAAACCTGTTTCAGCACATGGTATGGTCAGAAAGTTTATAATATTTATTAAATCTATATCTAAAACATCTTTAGAAAAAAATAAACACTATTTTAAAGTATTTGCTTATCATTTTATGCAAACCAACAGCTTATCAATTTCAGAACCGATAATCGGAAGTCACAACACTGTTTAACATTCTAACCATACATTGAATCTCAAATCACATAAATATTTCTGATTCATTTTTCAAGTAAGCTTCCAACCCAGGGGTGGGCAAACTATGGCTTGTGAAGCAATTGTGGCTCATGCCTCTGCTCGCTCTCCCTTTAAAAAAATAAAATAATAAAATGAAAGAAGGAGAAAAAATGAATGTGTATTTTAAACTTTCGATTTCAGATGTCATTACTATATGGTTTTTTATTTACACAAAGAATATTTTATAATCTTTTAGCCATATTTATAACTTACTATAGAATATCTGAAACCTTATCCAAAGTGATTTGTTATGTGCTGTTTTCAAAACGGTTATTGTTTATTTGACCAGATCTAAAGACTCATTCATACTTCTGGCATTCTATATGTCTGTTAAGACTAAAAATAAAAAATTTAAGAAGAATATCTACTGCATATTATCTGGTATTTTAAAAATGAATATCCTGATTTCATGGTCACTATAAATCAAATTCATAATAACAAACTTACTTCCTTACACATCAAGTGGTATGATAAAATTTTTAAAACTTTATGATTTATTTTAACTTTGATTAACTTGGGCTCAGAAGTTAGTCAGACACAATCTAAAGGGAAATGATTTTATGATTGTGTTCTTTTTTAAAGTGAATCATGTTAAAGACTTAATATATATATTTGTATATCATCACCTCTTTATTCTTTTTTGTGAGTTTATTTTTGAAGTGCTTCTTCCTTTGAACGTAAGTGAATATGATTTTTTTTCTTTCTAAAATTACTTTTAAATGCTTGTTTGTTTTGCAGATGTCATTGGTTTCCTCTTGATGGTAAATCCATCATCAACCCAATCAAAAGCTGATTCACAGAGTCAAATAAATCATGTTTCGTCATCTTTTTCATCTTTCAAGCTTCATCCTCGCATCTTGGAATTTCACCCGGACTACGTGAATGGAGTTGAGGGTAATTTGTTTTTTTATATTTTATGTCAAAATGTATGATTGTGGGATGGAATGGTGAACCTCAATGCAATCTCCCTGATTTGTATTGTTGGAGTAAACATATTCGTAACATTGTTTACTAAATATATACAGAGTCAATTTTCAAAATGCTTTATCTCCATTTTTGGCGTTTTGAGATAATCGACTTTTTCTGCTACCCAATGATGGCTCAAATTTTCGGAAAAGTAAATGCTAATTTTGGTATATATTCAAAATATAAGTTAGATTATGATGAAAATGAAATGTAGGTTAATTAAAATGTATTTATTTACTTGGTTGAGTTTCTTATTTCGTTTCAAAATGCTGTTTAACCACCTATAAATTAGCGACAAAATGCTGTATATCCATTTTGATAGCATAACATTATTCCCAGTAGCAAATAATTTAAGTTGTTAAAAGATTACAAACAATTTACATAACAAAATAAAATAAAATTGTATCACATACATTATATAATTGTGTATGATTAATGTTTTTATTGATATATTAATTAACAGAACAGTATTATGAATGCTGGGAAGTTGCTTGTAATAGCGTAATGTTTTGAGAGCTATAAGTTTGCATGATTTGTTTTTATAAATCTGAATTCTAAACAAAAGTAAACAAGATAATGTTCAATTTAAAAATCATTTGATTTGAATTTAGAGCAACGACACAATAGAAAATAATGAAGTGTCTGATTCAGAGTGTGCATTATCTTCAATAGTAGTTTGGTTTTGTTCCAGGAAAAGTTGATGCTTCTTATTTACATTCAAATCAGAGGGCAAATATTTCTGTCTTTGAGCACCCTTTCTTCTGTAATGGCTAGATCTGCATGTAAAAGATTGAATGTGTAATAAATAACACAGCTAACTCTGTAAAGCAACTTTTTATTTTCATTTCCTTAACACTTCTGATGTATAGTAACCATAACAATAATAATAATGTAAAATGAAATTTAGTGTTTTTTTAATAAAGTTACCTGTAACTCAGGTTGCAGAACCATGTATTGTCATTACACGTAACAGAGGGGATCTTTCCTCCGCTTGATTGACAAAATGATTTGTCTTTTTCTCAAGTTGAGCTTTTTTTCTTTCTTTTTCGAGATTTTATAATAAAATTAACTCTTTCATCCAGGCCGTCGTTATACACAGTGTTCGTTTTTGTTTCGCGTCGTGATGTTTAGTGCGCATGCGCAGAATGCCGCAGCATAGCTTGCCAATCACACTGATCGGTCCAAAAATATATACAGCCTTTGGATAATAATAAAAAAATTTCACACCGCGTTTTGAAAATAAAATCATTTTTAGATATAGAATAATATAGTATTAAAATGTGTTTTGTATTTAAACTTTAACATGTCCTAAAGGAAACTGGTTTGCTCTAAAAGAATGTACAGTTATCTCATTTTTGCAAAATGGCTGATACCGCGTTTTGAAAATCGACTCTTATATATATATAAACAAACTGTTATGACTTGGTTCGAACTGCTAAACGAAATCTTAGCTTACAATCATTGCTTTTGTTTTTTCTAAATTCTTAATTTCCGCATTGTTATCAGTTTCACAAGCCTAAACTGTTCATTTTGTAAACAAGTGAAGTGTTTATAAAATGTATGACCAGTTTTCTTGTCTAACATTCATTTTCATGCGTACAGCAAACTCAAATAATGTCTGGGGGGGGGGGGGAGCTTCAAAACTTTGCTCAGCACCAAAACATTTGGGAACAGAGAATAAAAAAGATTAGGGGAAACATTTCTCTTGGAAACTACCTTCTATTTAATTGCTACCCAACCTTTTTTACACTATCTGTGACTGAAGTATTTGGAATCCATGACATTCTGTCATCTGTTTCTTTCTGTTTCATTTTTCGTTTTGTTATATGTGCGCACTCAGTTTTTCAGAGTCAATTACATTTATTTTTTTTTAAGTTTGATTTCTTCATTACCACAATATTTGTTTTTTTTTGTTTTTAAATTTTTATTATATTTTTGGAGTTAATACTTTTTCTATATAATTCAAGTTATCAACAGTATAACATATCTGGTAATGTCTAAACATGTTCATGATATCTTAGACAGGGTGTAGACATACCAATATCTAATTTATTAAAGAAATAATGTATTGAACAAAAAAACCTCAGCTGAAAATGAAATCTATTGCTCTCTCTCTCTTTCCTCACCTTCAAGGCATTGACAGATTCATAATTATTAATAAAATCACTAATTTCTTAGAGGTGAAGTCTTTGTTGCCTAAAACGCTGGCTATTTTGTTTTAAAAAGTGTTATGTTAAATGTAATCTGGGTTGCAAGACTTTTAAAAGATATGTTGATTTTGTTCACAGGTTCAAAAATAGATGGTTTGACTCTCAAGAAAACAATTGTCATTGTCACACCGGGGCTTCTCATCCCTCCAGATAATGTAGAAGAACTGCACCCTTCTTGGTCACGTGATAGGACACACCTTTGCAACTTCCAAGAGTTTTCTAAGAATCATAAGTCAGATAAGGTCAGAGGTTATTCAGAAATACTTTCAATAAAAGATAAGTTTAGAAGCAAGAAAGTAAAGTCGGGCCTTAAATTTTTCTCACCCTTGTCAGAAGCTGGAGATTGTGCAAGTAAAAAACTCTCAGCTGCTGGTGTGTCCCATCTGATCTACTTGGGTCAATATTTGAGACAGGCGTACTCGGATCAGCTGTCAAGCTTGCATGAAAGTGCCCACGACCTAGACCTGGCCGAGACGTTTGGTGAGGAGGCGCTGTTTCAGAGTTTAAATGCCCTACTCTATGGTTTGCTGACAGAGAAACAGTTCATTTCCACCGACATTGCCAAAAGATCCAGAGATTTCAACACAGCCTCTGAGAGGACTCCACAGCCTCACCACGACTTACAGCATTTTGTAGAGCAGTCCTATGAAACAGAAAGTTATTTGTTGAAAAATTCTAAAATTGATATCCTTGACCAAGATGTTGATGTTCCATCGAAGCATACTGTTTTGTATTTGTTGAACATTTTGTTTTCTATTTTGAACGATAACAATGTTGTCAGTGACGCTGTTAAAAACAGCAACTTTTTTAACAGTAGAATTCTGTCATACAATGCCATGAGTAGGTTGTTTAACACTTCAGACATCCACACCAGCTATCTTTCCTCTAACTCTGCATTTAAATTGTATGCCCAATCTCGTACATACAATATGCGGCAACGCCTTAAAGCTTTACTGCCAAAGGAGGGTAAGGCAGTTGATAATGATTTAAACGTGATATCCATTGATGACTTGTTGATGTTGAGCCTGTTGGTGTCTCTGAATATGTCGGTGAATAGACATTTGCCATCTGCCTCAAGGCTAGTCATTGAATATTTTGAAACAGTGCCATCCATGCTGATCAATCCATTATGGCATGCTTACCCATTGCATAACGGTGAAGGTTTGCAAGTAAGCCCTGATCACTCAACTGATCAACTTGGTTCCAAACTTCCTAGTCATATTCCACTTGGTGAACATCCTTCAACTCCTGGTGGGATCGGGGATAGTAGCCCTCCTTCCTTTCCCCTCTCCCACATCCTCTTAAATCAAAATATGTTAGCAGGGATACTGAAACAAAATGACATTCCAATAAGAAATCATCAAAATCCCTTTGAGTTTGTACGTGTTTTATACAACGGTCAGGTGATCACTGCACAGCTTGGTGGCTGCAGCCATGATACGCTGATCACTCTGGGGCTCTGTGTTAGGAGTAGCTTTGAAAATCTGCTTAATTCATTGGCAAAGAGTGAGAACTTGAAAGAAGAATTGTAAAAAAAAAAAAAAAAATTGGATTACTGTATTATTTTTGTATGTTTTCTCCCAAGTAATTTTTATGGGTTTTTTTTAATTTGTTTTTTAAAGTTGAGCTTTTGATGCACTTTAATGTTTTCATATTGTCTTAAAAAAATTAAGCAGATTTTGCAATAGCTTTTTATTTCCTGTATATTACCTAGTATAATACATAATTTAGGCTAAAAAATGTTACTTAACTTAAAAATAGTTGTTCTCATTATATGCATGTGTTAGAATTTATTTAATGTTTCGTTACCGGTAAATGATAAATACTAATGCTTATGCAATCTTCTTGGCCCACTGACATTTGGCAACCGATCATGCTTAATTTCATTACCGTAAACAATATTGACAGATTGCATTATATGTGGACATGGCATTGTAAGGCTTTTTTTCAAACAAAAGGTTAAGGGTTGGCATTGTATCTGAATCATGTTATGGTATATAGCATTTTCTGGTTACCTCAAAAAATTTGCCTACATTACTTTTAAAAAATGGAGCTAGTCACATCATCTTGTGGTTATCACATTATTCAAGTATCATTCTGTTATTCCTTGGGATATTGCCACATATCAAAATAGTTCAGCCTGCCTTATGCTTAATATTATAATACACCTCAGAAGACAGTTTGGACACATAATATATGTTTATGTAAATACTTGAACACAAATGTTTTTATATACAAAATTTATTTATTTTTCATCATGATGCTTTTCGTCATGAGAAATGACAAATGTACCATGAGATATTTTTACTTTACATTACCTCTGAGCTATTAGCAGCCTTTAGTTTTTATTGCTAAGATTTTTTTTGATTAACCCGGGATGCCATATTTCTGTCAGATATCTTTGTTTATTGTCACATTACTTTGCAGCGTTATAACTGCAACATAAGGATCTGCCGATGTTGGACTGTTACATCAAATAGTTTTCATGTGAATCTCAGTTTGTCTTGGTTCTTTGGCTTTGTTTGCTGTGTGAGCTCGTGATGTCTGTCCCAATGTTATTGCTTTCCCCCTAATAATTATTGCAATATAATTCATAGAGTTTGTAACTTAATGATAACTTCGGATATAGGTGTAAGTTAAGTGAATAGAAATTGCCACAAAGTATTTTAATATCTCAAAAGAGAACAATTATTTATCTCTTGTGCAGCATTGTTGAGTGAGAAGTATTGTAGAAGTAAAATGTTAACGCTTATGCACTAATACTTTGTACAGATATTGGAGACTTGAATTCAAGAAAAAATAATGGGGAACAAATAAACGTCCCTTCCTCCTGACATAATGTTATAAGGGTTTACAGGATTTGAGTAAATCTATAAGGATGATGATCATATAATCAAACCCTATATAAAACTCCAAATTTTAAAACAAAAACAGAAAAACACTTATATTTTCATGAAAATGGGTCACATGTAACCAAAATACTTCTCAATAATAATTATGATTAGATACCGGTATGTTAAATTATTTTACATAACAGCTTTTTCTTTTTGCCTTGACATTATTGTATGACACATTCTGATTAGTAATATCTTTTAGGCAGCCATGTGTTCACATGAAAACATTTTTTTTTTAAATTGTTAATAAATTAATCTTTGAATATATGAAAGATTGATGAAATTTCTTTACTCTTTATAAACAAGTATCTATGCTGTTTATTTCATATTTAATAGCTTTTTTTTTTTTTTGCAGAAACAAATGATTTTGTTTAATTTAAGTTTTTTTAAAAATGTGTGTGTGCGTGCTTTCTTTAACTTGTGAACATTATAATTTTATGTTGTGGTTCTTTTAGATCTGTGCATGAAAAATAAAATGCATTAACACACATTTCTTATTTATTTAATTTTTATTGCACAGATTTAAATGAAGTACATCATAAAATCATTACATAACATGTTCATGAATTTATCTTAGGTTTTTTGTGTTTTTTTTTTCCATTGTTAACAACTTCTTTTCTTGATTTAAAAATGAATTTTATTCTCATTTATTTATTAATTTTAATTTCAAAAATTGCTTTGGAAACTTTATAAAAACATAAAAATCCTTTGAGGCGAACCCTTGCTAAGTGTTGAATAAAAGAAATATGTATACACTGCCCTGTAGAGACATTTTAAAGACTGGTTGATGTATAGAGGGTTTTTTTTTTTAATTTGTTATTTTAAAAAAAAATTATTTAGATAAGTTCTCTTGTTCATGAATGACAGCACACACTTACATTATACCTATTGCCATATAATGAATATCAATGCACTGAAATGAAAAAATATTAATGTGATAGTGATTTTTTTCTTATGTCTATTACTGCTCAAGATTTAAAATCGTTGTGAGATGCAACATTTTACCACAGAGCTTTCAATTCTCCTTCAGATTATTCATATTCTACCATCTTATCATTGGACTAAGATACCATTTCTTTGTAAATCAGACCTGTTTACCCTCAAACTCTTAAAATCTTACAATATCATGACAAAATCGTTTAATACCTATATATTTATAGTAAAAAATAAAAATAGAGTATATATAATGTTTACACCTCAAAATCGTACATTGTACGCCAAAATCGTAAGAGTAAACACGTCTGGTAAATGCATAATTGTCATCTCTGAGAAAAAGAAGGAACCAGGTTTTTTAAGCACAATCGAGTGCCATGATCTAAATCATTACAAGGAAATTGCACGACGGGATACCTCTCACTTTTTGATTGCTGTGCAAAGAGCTAATTCTGGGCTATTTTTTAATCTATGTAAATCCATTCAAGTTTGTTTGGTTTTTGTATATTGATTTAGAATGTAGAACTAGATTCCCACGATGCATGCTTACTTCCAGATTTAGAATGTAGAACTAGATTCCCACGATGCATGCTTACTTCCAGATTTAGAATGTAGAACTAGATTCCCACGATGCATGCTTACTTCCAGATGAGAAGCATGAGTACTTTAATGTGTCGGCTGTTTAAACGTTGCAGACCTTGTTTTTGGAGTTGGCAACCTGTTTTAACTCCTTTAAAAATTATCCCTAAGCCATAATTCAGCCGTGCGCCCACCGCTGCTTAAGGCAGCGTCCGAGGACAGCAACGGCTGTCTTTTGCCAGCATCAGTGGGAGCTGTCTCCAACTATCAGATTTCTGTTCTGACAATTATTCTCTGCTGTCTTGTGGGTCTTTATGGTTTTGTTTTTGCCTGGGTTTTCCCCACATTATCTGTTCTGGTAAGTGTGAGAACAGTTAGCAACCCACTGACCCTCTTCCCAAGCTACTCAGTTCATCATTTGAGGTTGTGTCTCCCCAGAAGATTCTATAGATGTGAATGTCTAGGAGTTTCACACCTTAAGGATGTCAACATTCCCAGTTCCTGATTTGTTTTGCTGATACTGCTGTTGCGACCTTGCTCTCTAGTTACTCAAACTTTATCTCATCTTTTAGTTGGCTTTTGTTCAGTGATGGCGTGCCCCCCCCCCCCCTTTCCCTCACTGGTATTTTTTTCTCATAACATGGATTTTCCCAGGAATTAATTGAACGCCTTTCCTTGTGTGGGCTGTCACACGAGCCATCTGTAAATATTGAGAAGATAATCTGTAAGGTAACGCCACACTCCTTCACCACAGAAAGGGTCAGGTGTCTATTGAGAACTCTACAATCAAACGGTTATTTCATGCTGCCAACCACTTGCTGGGTAATGTCTCTTACAATCTTCCATGGTACCAGTACTCTATGTGCAGCCTGTCAAAGGCTTTCTGTGAAGCCCAAGACGGTGTACACAATGGCTGATATTTACTCCACTCAAATATTTTCAGGTTTTTTTTTCCCCATGTAAAATTTGAATTTGCCATTTTCAGTTTTTTGGTTTTATTTTGTGCTTTGAAGATATTTTATATGTTCAAAATTGCTATATTTTGCACAATGTTCAATTAAGCAGAGCTAATCCATTTGTTGCATTCACATAAAATATCTTAATTGTTGGTTACTTAGTTTGATAACGACTGTATTTTGGAGTGTTTTTATCTCTCCTAAATATTCCCTTGCCCGTTAACTTAGATGTAGGTTGTTTGCACCGGTAGAATTCCATATATTTATTCTTGGTGGCATAAAATGCCATTTTGTTGATTGTTAATCAAAACGTTGTTAGCCAAAATAGCTATCTATTGTTTGTTGATTTTTTGGAGTTAAATAGTTTTGAATCTACATTTTTTTTTTGAGAAAGTTGTAGCAAAAGACACATCTATGTCTGCTGTCATTGTATTGATAAGACGGACAAATAATGCAAAACTGTGGAAACATACTTTTTATTGATATTTATGTATTGTTAATGTTTTAGGTGACCATTGGTCAGTTTTGTTTTTACAATATTCTTCTTTTTTTTTTATTACTTTTTTAAAAATTGAATGGATTTAAAGTCTTTAGCATTGTAGAACAATTGAATAGTTTTAAAGTCTATTATTATTATGTAGCATTTTAGAACAATTAAATAGTTTTAAAGTCTGATATATAGCATTGTAGAACAATTGAATCATTTTATAGTCTCATATATATATATATATACACATATATATATATACACATATATATATATATACACATATATATATATACACATATATATATACACATATATATATACACATATATATATATATATACACATATATATATATATATATATATACACATATATATATATATATATATATATATATATATATATACACATATATATATATATATACACATATATATATATATATATATACACATATATATATATACACACATATATATATATATATGTCATTGTAGATCTATTGAATAGTTTTAAAGTCTGATATATAGCATTGTAGAACTATTGAATGACGCTTAACTAAAGACTCGATAAACAACTTTTTTAAAAATTAAATCTGCAGGCTATAGCAGTTGAATTATTTTGTTTCAAGATAATTGATTTTCTTTCTTTCAAATTAAAAAAACAAAACAATTTACTTCCATA